TAGTCTTATCATAGAGTATCATAGAATACTTACGATAATTCAATTTATTAAACAAAAAAATCACTAATCGCGATAATGTAGTAAATTTTAGATTATATTTAATTTAGAAATATTAAAAAATAGAATATTTCATAAATAATAAAACATGAAATAAACATTGAATAATTCATAAATTGTTATGTACAGAAAAGAATGAAAATCGCGGTAGAAATGAATTATTAAATTCTGTTATTTTCATCATCCAGTTAATCTCGCTGGGGATTATATCTATATGCACCCACGCGTTGATCTCTAATAAAAGCAAAGATTAACAAGATTAAATATAATAATGAAATTTTAACTATATAAATCTTAAATATTTTAATATTCTAAACTTTTAGTAGTTTTTAGTTTTAGAACTTTATTATTGAAATTAAAAGTAATAGAAAAGTGGTAAGAATTGTGATGAAAATTGATATAAAAATCATTTGTTTAATGCAAAAAATATTTATAAAATGATTTTGTTTGTACTATATTAATTTTTAAGAAAAAATAATGTACAAACAAATTTCAATGCACTTAAACAAATTGAATGGTATAAAACAATTGAATCCAATCTGTTTCATTGTTAGGCGGCGATAAACGACGGAAGAAATAATGCGACGGAAATTGTGTGCGCGGCTTATATTTTCTTTTCGTTGCGCTCTTCTTGGGGCCGCATAAATTAGTTTAAAAATAAATAAACAAAACTGGGTAAGAAAAATGTGGTGGACGGACGAGAGTTGCGTTGTTTGTTTAGGACTTTTCGATGTTAAATCTCGAATAAAAAAAAATGTATATGTGAAGTGGCGCGCTAAGAATCTGACTGCCAAGAGGGAAATATATTTCTAGCAGATTCTTAAATGAATGCAACATCAGTTTTAATACCCTGCGACCAAAGGTGATTAAGGGCGGTATTATTCAGAGGCAGGGATGGATGGATGGATGGAGGAGGGAAAGGAAAATAAAAGGTAGGAATTATAGTTTTTGGAAGTCATGGTCTGGATCAATTCCCTAGTGTACATGGACAATCATTAATCATATATTGGGCCTCTATAGAAATTATATACATTTTTGAAATTCATCTGTGGACTAGAAATATGACAAACAGAAATATCATTAATATTTCTTTTCTGGTGCATTGTCCGAAGGGGGTTGGGTTGATTTTTAATGATTCTGTTTCACTCCACATACCTTGAGTTCAAAGTTGTGTGTTTATATTCCACTGTTTAAAATCCTAGGAAACTGCACTGAACAATACTACGTCCAAACACATTCGATGCTCACACAAAACATTTTAATGCATGACACAGAACCATGACATGGAAAAGCACACATTCAGTCCTCAACTGCTGGACTACAACTGGATGTCTCGACTGAGTAAAGCCAATCAGGACCCAGCCCAACGGAGCAAACTCAAGCTAATATGGCTGCCACGTAGGCTTGCTTACAGACAATGGTTGCCAGAGAAAGGGAACTCTCTCAGAAGAGGGGAGCTCAACCCCCAAATTTCCCAACCCCCAGCCATGCGATAGTGCTGGGCTCCAATATTTATATTCCAACAGTGACTCAGCATACTATCGTATAAATGCATATATATATATATACCTGCTTCTCACTCATTGGCATTAATTACAAATACACTAAATTTCATTTGCCTTATTTTGGGGGTTTCCCCCTCCACACAATGTGCTGGAAAGAACAACTTCTTATTAAATGCATCGGAGGCCTTGGCTTTCAAGTGCTGTTCCTAAAAAAATCTGGACAATTGAGCTTAACTTAATCCACTTAAAGAGGTAGAATACATTCTTTCCCAAGACACCTTTTAATGACAGCACTGTATTCTTAAGTCCATTATATCAATACAAACAGATTAAAAAGTCTGGGAATTGTTATTGTTTAACCTCTGTATATGTATGCATTTGAATATTGCCAGTCTTATCAGAGCACTCGCAATAAAAGTAAAAGTCATATGAGTCTGTGGAATGTCTAGAACTTGATGTCCCCAGCACTGACCAGTGAATGAGTTGTATTTATATTGTTTGTTATATCACCTGAAAGAACCAGAAGCGTAACGTCATGCACTAGGAAAACATATTAAAGTAGGCAGTCATGACAACTTGCAAACAGATTCACAAAGTAGCTAAACATTTCTATTAGCACCTCCATGAGGTCTTCTTTTTTTCTCTTTATTATCTTTTCCTTGCCTTCCTTTTTCCTTTACACCGATCGTTCCAATGAATTAATTCAATTTTCCACTATTTTCATAAATTAAGCATAATTTCAGGACAGATGCTCCATCATAAGATTCATAATATATAGCAGAGACTTATTCCTGTCTCTCTCTACTATATATTTAATTTCTTTTTTTAGGTCCATGGGGGCTTTGCTTCATTTGATTCCGAACAGCATTCAGCATGACTAAACACTTTTTTACAATTGGGAATGTTTCTTAGAAGATCTACCCCTGTACAGTTTCATGGGGGCCCCCATACATTCAAGCCAGTATCTCATAGCATCGGCACATCCAACCAGGGGAGACACTCATGAATGCAGTGCAGTTGCATAAGCCCCGGGATGGGGGCTCTGCTGGTATTATGAGCCAGGGACACATGGAAATTTTTGCCGATCTCATACTGGAGTGTTCAAAACTGTCAGAACCATCATTACTCATATAGTAAAGCCATCTCTCCAATATACCAGATGCAGTGGAGAGAGATGGGTGAAAGTGAGAATCTAACTTCCATTGTTAAGTTATTAATCTGAGTATAGCAAAACTAAAAGAGCCCAGAGAGACAGAGCCTCCATCAATCTGAACAGCATGGTATCCCCTATTCTTTCCTTCACATATTATAAAAATTGAAACCTGAAATTCCACTAATACCTTCTTAAAACAATTATTTCTTGTAACTTCTAATGGAAAAATAACTGCACACGACTACATTTTAGAGAAGAAACCGCAAACTGAGCACGCATACAGAAACTGATAAAGGCGATTTTATTGCAGGAGAAACGAGGCAATAAAACTGTCTTTCTGCTTTTACCAACAACTATACAATAGGCGCATATTCCCTTCCTTCAAGGTTCTATTTTTGAAACTCATTTCCATAACAATTTGTCATATACAAATATTATTTGTATATTAATTAAGAAGTTAGTAACTTAGTATAGTGGAACCTCGCTTAACGAGCCCCTTGCATAACGACCATTTCGCTAAACGAGCAAAATTAATTGTAAGAAAAATGACTCGCTTAATGAGCGACGTTTCGCATAACGACTGACGATGAGAAGAGAAGTCCCGGATTGTGCGCCTGATACATCAGTTTTAAAACTTGTGTACACATATTATGTGTATTTTTGAATACATGAATAAAAATTAATCTCGTTAAGCGAGGTTCCACTGTAAATGTTTATGAATTTACATATAGCCAGACAGTACTCGAGTACTTTACTTTTCAATTATCTTTTTTATTTTTGTTTTAGATTTTGATTAAGCGAAAGTATTTACTGGTTCAAACTAGAAGCAGCGGAAAAAAACATTCTTATCTGCAAAAAAGTCAAGTATCTAGGATACACATGCATGTTGTATATACATTTTTTAGTCTGTTTCAATTATTTCAACTGAAACTATAATTTGGTAGCTGCAGTTAATCAATTTTATATTATTGCGAAATTCGGAGCTGATATGTTGAACCCAGGATCCTCTTAGGTCACAGTCCGCGCTGACGCAATCCATAATAAAAAAATAAAATAATAAATAATCATCTCTGCAGGATTTATTAGTAAATTTTGAAACAATTATCTATAATAAATAAATTCAGTAATTGCACAATTGCTTAATCCCAAGAGATGTTTTTCGTCGGTTTCCTGTACCCTTCTTCTTCTTCTTCTTTTTCTTCCAGGTAACCAAGCTCTATTCTTTGCAGTAATCTTAGGTAAAGAGCGAAACAAGTGTAGAAAGTGTTAAGTGCTCGTCGGATTAGTGGGCAACACAAAGCAAAAATCAGGAAAAATTGTCGATGAAATTAACGACTTCCGGTACAAAACACGTTTATTTCTTTGTGTTTTCTAAATCGTCATTATTATTTTGGATTGTTAACCTTTAAGCTGTAAACATGACACACCCGCAATGTAAGATAAAAATGTGCACATGAAATACCAGATTACATCCAAAATCGTGCATTCCAAGTTTTATTTTTGTTCGATTGGATTTGAATGATGATTTTCAGTTACTTTACAATCAATTAATGTTTATATGAATTTTGTTCTTGAGAATCGCTTAACCTTTCTACTATTTTTAAAGTACTTAATTGAAGTTTATTGTAGAATAAAATTATATTATTTCGTGGAAACGAAAACGCAGTGAAGCAATTCCGAGCTTAATGATGGTGTTTCGACTTGGAGATTTCCGGTTCCAGGTAACAATTTCTTTCTAATCTTCACAAGGAAAGGTAAAACGAAAACAAGTAAAAAAAAAATCGCAATTCATATGGATTATGAAAACAGGTAGGTGACTGTGGCTCAGCTATTGGAAGAACAGTTGCATCCATATAAATTAACGTTATGTTTGGACGCGCTTTGCACTCGTCGTCCAACAGATAACCATCGAAATCTTGTTTCGGTTATAAATAGTGAAACAAAACACATCTCATATGATTGATTATCGGTAGAACGAGAAAAATGATGGTATACACGACCCATTATTGTCGGTATTATGATTATCGCGATTCTGTGTAAATAGTTACGATTCGGCGTAGATAACAGATAATTAACGAATGAATTGATTTTCGTCGCTTCGTTAGAACGGGAAACGCTAATAAAAACTGTGGTGGCTGTGCATGATGTCATTTGCTCGCAACGATTGCCATGTATAATATAATGAAAATGGTATTGGTCGGAGAAGAGGATGACTCTGTACTTTTCGGTTTGGGTTTGATAGTTCGTTTTTTTTTTGTTTTGTTTAGTATCTTTTCTTGACTGACCTGTCTCCGTGTCCACGGTGTAGTTCAATCCGGCCCAAGGATCCAAGTCCTGTGACTCCGGTTCGATCTATCGTTAACAAAGAACATATATTAGTCGTCTGTATGAAACAAATAAAAGACGCTTGTTTTACTTTGATGCTGCTCTCGTTAAATTCTTTGAGGGTTTTAATATCATCCAAGTTTCCGTCTTCTTTGGAGGTTGTAGGAGTCGAATTCAGATCGGGATCCAGCTTCTCCGGTTTGGTCGGTCCCACTTCTAAAGGCACACCAAGATCCACATCCTGTTTCCACAGCACTTCAATCAAATCCATATCCTGCAAAAAAAACATAAACACATTAGATTTCATATTTTTTAAATAAATTAATATAAAGTTTCAATTAATTCTTAAAAATTAAAATCAAGCTCGCTTAACAAGTTTAATCCGTTCCAAACTTTCCGAAGTTTTAAAAATAATATAGAAGACGCGCAATCCGGGACTTCTTCTCATCGTCACTCGTTATGCGAAACGTCGCTCGTTAAGCGAGTAATTTTTCTTACATTTAATCGAGGTTCTTATTTTAATACATTTAGTTAAATGATAAGATTGTAATAGCAAGATTTGATCAAACCAATTGTATTACAAATTGTTATTCTACTATACGATATTCTTGAATACGTTTGAAATAACATATAATTATTGAATAAAGTAAATTATCGACATTTTTCTTACTTCCAATCATTTACTGTACTTACGTTTTTTTATAGATAACAGATTGAATTGTTGTTTTTATCATTATTTTTCTATGGGAATATCGAATGCCGCAAATTATTAGATTAACTATTAATAATAATAATAAATTCAAAATCTATTACATTATTTAACTTCAAAATATAATTTTCAATATTTCAAAACATATCGAATTGTTGATTCATTATATTGTATAAGCTGAAAAGTTTCATTAATGAACGTATGTTTCTCGTTCCCATTTTTATTTATTTCGCCCTCCTCTTTCCTTCCTTTACCATCCATGTGCCGATGGGGGAAGGTTTCATTAATTTTCTTTCTTTTTTCCATTGTGAAATCCAATTTCCTATTAATTACGTGGATGGCCAAAAATGAATGCACCTGCCTTACACAGGCGCTTCATTAAAATAACGGCGGAGGAAAGGAGCGGAGAGGTAAAGGAAAAAAAAATATATTTATATATATATATATGATTGTGTGTGTGTGTATATATATATATAATGTAACAGGCGCGTTCGCACCGCGGGTCGACAAGATGGCGTCCTCGGAACGATGCGGGATACCAAAGGTGCGGTTCGATGGATGGCTACCCTCAACTAACCAAACCAAACCCATTGTCTTTCACGCTCCTCCCAGTTTAATCACATATCCGTGACCGAAAAAAGAAAACGAAGAGGGAGTGAGCGACGTGCGGAGACAGAGAGAGGTTACAGAATGACCAGAACTGCGCTCTTTTCTTTCATTTACTTATTTATTTCTGCCTTTCGGAACGGGTCAGGCGACAGCCAATTGGCGCAAACTGTTTGTGCACACTGCACCAAGGACTAATTAAGCGAATGCTACAAAAAAAAAATGGACATCGCAAGAATTAGGTGGTCCAGACAAGAGGAGGAGAAGGAGCAAGGGAAACGGATACGCGTTTTCTAAAGGAAATGCTCGATTGGTAATTCGGTATGACGGTTAAGGTCTGCTGATCCAAGAGGAAATAATAACAGCGAACGGTTTTACAGTTGTTGGCGCGGCGTCGATTCAATGGCAAACAACAATCGAAAACGAAACGCTTAGAAAGTGAACTCGCGCGATTTTTCACTCCACAACAAAACACCAAAAGTTAAATGAAACCATAAATCTAAAAGAAATATTTATAATTCTTCGGCAAACAGAGACGGGCAAGTGGTAAATTCTGGTTACGATAAAGACGATGCATGGTGTTGCGTAACGGCGTTAAACAAATCCTCGTCCTTATCGTTATTTTCTAAAATTAGCCTCGTTTGCTCTGATTTATGTAACAATTGCTTTTGGATGTACACTTTTTTTTTCTCTCTCTCTCATTTTTGCTTTTCTCCCACGGGTGGCAATTGATTGCCATCATCATTAAGGATTCGGGGAGGGAAAAACGACGACCCAATCATGATTATTTCCATGGTCCGACCTCGATTCCCATGGAACAATTTCATCTATTAACGCCGCCGCTAACGAACGATCATCATTGTTGCCCGGAAGAGAGAGAGAGAGAAAAAGTTTTCTTCTCCTTTATTTCATCTTTATTCCACACATACACAATAATAAATTAAATTAATGGACACCATCTTCTGACGCAAAGTTCTTCATTATTATTATTTTTTATCATTGATTGAATACAACTTCTTTGATATAAACTATAATTTACCTAATTACTTTATAATTAAGTTCTAAAATGAAACAAAAACTGAGTTATTATACTTCTTCACAATCACATACAATCATTATTAAAAAAAATAAATATATAACATAACATTTTCGTTACGTTACGTTACTTATTCAGTTAAAAAATTCCACGCGAAAATACAAATATTTACAAAACACTCATTATTCACTATTTAAACTGCAATTTCACAAAATTCACGAAACGTAACAAAATATACAACAAAAATAATAATAACCATGTTTTAGTTACTTTAAACAGCGTAATTTTTAAAATTATAATTGCATTGTTTTAATACGTAACGTTTTATTAGAAAATTTGGCATTTAAATCGTGCTTAATGCATTTCCGAAATTAGCAAACCTAAACCAATCCAACCTAGTAAACTAAGTTTGTACTTAGCAACATTCTTTTTTCATCATAAATAATTTTGTTTATAATTGCAAGAATGTTAATTTGAGTATTGAAGCATATATAAAATATAGAAAGTTCATTCAACCGCGTATGTATGAAACCGTGTAAGTCGAGAACTTACTGTATATATAAAAAAATATACAACAGCAAAAGTAAACCGAAACACTGGATGGCCTTTAAAAATCTAAATTGAATAAATCCCGTTACAACGATCGATCTTATTAATATTTCGTCAATTTCTTGCAGACGTAACGGATTTTTAATAGTAATAATAATAAAAAAAAACTTCGGAAATTCTCGAAATCCGTTTTACTTATATCTAAAATATTTATAAATATGGTAGAAAGTTCAAATTGATTTTATTTATTTATTTAGTGTTGTTCGAATTGAGGTTGCAGATTAAAAGTTTGTTTTCTCTTTATGCGAAAAACTGGAGACAAGTAGAAAAAAAAATCTATTTACCTTCAATTTATAAATATAATAATTGCTTTCGAAAATACTAGGAAATGTTCCAAAATTTCAACAATGCTATGTTTTTTTTGCTTCGTATTATTCCAATAAGTAACAAATCTCGTTACTTAATAATTATTTGTAATTGATATTAAATCATAACTTGCATCAGAATTCGAATCATAGGCAAGTTTTAATAATATTGGAATCGTAGTATGTTTTCAACTATGTACATTTGCAAAAGTAAATACTTTAAAAACTCATAAAACAAGTGTTTAGCTTTGAACTTGTATGCAGCCGTAAGAGGTTATTGAAACAAAACAAACAAACAACACCTTAACCGTTGGAAGACGCGTAATTTGCATAGGAATAAAGCAAATACACAGGTGTTATTTACAAGTTACTATGAAATGCGCAACTTTTCTGAGCGAAATTTACGACGGTTCCATTTAATCCAATGTTTTTCTTGCCAAGGGCGTGCAATCACATGAAGCGTGCTCGATTTCGAAAGAAACCGGTCGGTCTCCGATTTCAAACACGGAAAATTCGATTATGAATTTTTGCTTCGATTTACGAAACCTATGATCCGTTCATGTGGAAAATGAGTTTAAGCGAGATTTTCTTCATGCAAAAATATGAAAATGGAATATAAAGAGGTTGATGGGAATGCGTGAAGGATGTAGTTAGTTCTTTAGTGCGAGTCATAAATTTTGCGCATTTGACTTGCCAATAAATGCGTCAAGAGTTTGCGGTGCGTTTCATGCGGTCAACTACTTTGTGGTTTTTCTTTCAGAGCACCTCTTTCAGGGAAGTCAGGTGGTGGTGGTTATGACGGAGCCATTAGGGGTTTTTCTGTTGATGGGTATCTGGGAGAGAAGGGGTTGAAGTAGCCGCGTTTTACGAAAGAAAATAAAATATATATATATAATACTGAAGGATACGGACGAGCCGAAGAGCTGTAATTGTGTTATAAATTATTCAAGCATTAATCACGGTATTGTCAAAACTTGGAACTTAATACATCCGAGCGACTTGTTTAACTTAGATTTTTAATCACAATTCCGTCTCAGTCGATCGCCTCGTCGTCCTTCTCCATCGTATACATTTATTATTTTTCTCTCCTGTTCATTATTCCTTTGAAGTATTATAGATTGCATGTCAAGATACGTATAGGTCTTGTAATTATAATTCTCCGCCTAGTTTTAAGTCTATTAAAATACATTCACTGTTTTTAATCAGTTTCGTTTTGTTCACTTTAACTTTTACATTCTACAAAATGGACAGTCGTCGCGTTTTGCAAATCAGAGCGGAATGCGATCAAGCATTCGTGGATTTCTCGTCCTAGTCGCGTTTTGTTTTTTTTCCTATTCACGTTTCATTTTCATATTCAATTTCGACAAAAAAAGAATACTTTCAATCAATCAATCAATCAAAGCGAAGCCACCAAGAAATAATATAATTGTATTTTTGTCTTTAGAAAATATTATTAAATTCAAACTGAAATTGTCTTCCATTTTGAATTCGGTTATATTTAGTTATCAAAATGTCGATTGCGTCGCCTAATGGATTACGAATGGCACTCGACTGCAAGCTTTTAGGGGTTTTCGAATTGGGGGAGACCGAAAATGGCACACACAACCCTCGACGTTCGGCATCCTCAAAAAAAAAGAAGGAGAGTAGAGGAACAGACGCAACTATCATTAATTCTGACAAAAAGGAACGGACACAAAAAAAATATATATATGTGTGTGTGCGACGAGCGGTAATAATAATAAAAGTGACGAGTCAGCGCGTTTTTCCCCGGCGAAACACCTTTTGGTGAAATTTTAATTATTTCGAAAAACCCACCACCTTTTCTGGGTGCCACCTCTGGGAACCCGAATTGATTGGCTGCGGGGCCACGAATTGCGACTGGTAGAAACCCATCATCTGCTCAACTCGTACGCTACTTTAAACACTGATCATGATCAGATCATCGCCGTGATGGTGATTTCCGCGTGAACGACAATTTCAAATTGGGAAACAGATTTGCGCAAACAAAC